GTCTGTGTGTGTATACTATATATACATATATCTGTGTGTTTCCGAGATCAAATGAGCAAACAGACCACTGGAGGTTCTCTGGCGTGAGAGGCTGAGAAGAATCGTTACTCACTCGGACCAGTTGGAGATGTAGCAGAACATGAGGCGGCGTGTGTGATAGGGCAGCCAGCAGACCACGAAGGCAATGACCACCGCTCCTGGACACAAGAGACAGAGAGATAGCATCACAAAACCAAAGTATAGTAGACAGATAAGGAGCACACAAAGAAATATCGAGATGATGCAGAAATTGTGCACAGTGTTCAGAGGATTAGAATGTGAATGTTTAAGAATCAGGCTGATACAGTTCTTAACATTTATTCAGTGCAGACATTTATTTTCCATTCAATTATTATAATTGATTTTATTATAACTATTAAAATAAGCCAATTATATAATATAAAAGTGACATTGCTTAAACACATATATTTTATAAAATACCAGGAAATCCCAAAAAACTTCTTTAACAAGTTCATTTCAGGATTTCATGTCATTGTGTTTATTGCTTTCCAACAGACAGACAGAAAGATTTTCTGCCATCATTATCGTAGACCTCACCCAGTTGGAGCTAAGTTGCGGCTGTAATGTGTTTAATATCCGTGTCTTGTTGCTTGTGCTAGCTGTTTTAGCATCTGCAGACTCCTCGTCACCTGCATAGGTGTCACCATGCTGTCTCACCAGGTGAGTGATAAGATCTGACGTGCTACCACTGTACTTAACTGCTGTCCGACAGATCTTACAAATGGACAGATATTTGACCAACTTCCCTTCCTTCTTATAGAATTCAAATGTCTTCCAAACTTTAGATTTTAGATTTAATGGTGTCATGGCATGGCTGTATCCTTGCCTTTTTTGTGTTTTCTTGTGTTTCCCCGTCCCTTGTGTCTCCTGTCTCTGTGTTGTAGGTGTGGTTTTCACCCTGCCTTCCAGCTCTGCTCCACACACCTTTCTGCAATCAACCCATCAAGATAACAGTACATCTACCCCAGTGCTCCATCTACTTCGTGCCAGTCTGCCAACCAGCTATCTGCAGATTACTCCTCACCCCTCTGCCTGCCTGCAAGCCTGCCATCTTCAGTAAGCCATCTCCTTAACCCTCTCATCATCACCATAACCCCCTTTCTGAAACTAAAAACATAAAAATAAAAACAACTTAACTTCACCAATCTCTGAATCTGTCTTGCATTTGGGTCCACACCTTCATCCCCTATAAAACATGGTGCATTGTTGGACATGATTGTTTATGTACCTACCTCGCAAACCACTCTGTGCTTAAATTACTCTCGTCACATGAATGAACGTGAATGATGTTTATTTACACACGGTTCCCAGCATAAACAAATCTGTTCATAGTCATATGGTACATTAAACCAGCAACAGTTCCAACGTCTATATCTGTAGAATATGCCACAGACATGAAAAAAATACAAATATATTTTGTTAACTCAACACCTCCTGTATCTGTTACAGATTAGGAACTCTAGCATTTCTGTGGACAGAATTTTAATTGTATTAATCCAATGCAAACTTAGTGTAGAAAGACAGAGCTGGCAGCAGCAGAAACGCTGCTGGTGTGGACACCGCAGGCATGCGAGGCAGCCGTATTTTTCACACTTAACACCAAGGAACAGGTCAGAAACCCTGGTGTTATTGACTCTGACCTAAGGTTTGAAACCACATTACAAATGTGACTAAAGGGTCCTTCTATCACTTAAGGAATACCAGAGTTTCTCTCCTAGGCTGGTAGAGTTAATACATGCTTTTATCTCCAGCAGGCTGGACTACTGTCTGTCTGCTGTGTATAATAAAGTCATTAGTCAGTTAACCATCGAAAAAGCTGACAGAGAGCCCACATTGCTCCAATCTTAAAATCTTTACATTGGTTGCCTGTCTGTCACAGGATTCATTTTAAAATTATTTTATTTACTTTTAAAGCCTTGAATGGCTGTGCCTGGTCTTATCTGTCCCACATGGTTAAGACATATGTGCCTGCGATGTCCCTGATATCCTCTGACTCCTGAGGTCAGAACTAAAAGGCACAGAGAGGCAGCCATTGTAAATTATACCCCACATAAAACATCTTAAGACACATGTTTTTTTTCTTTTTCTCATCTTTCTCCTGTTTTTACCTGATGGTTGTTTTTAAATCAATCTGATCTTATTTTATTAGGGGTCCAAGCTGCTGGATCCCTCTTGTTCTCTCATGCAGTAAAAACTATTACCTAGAAAGACCAAAATCGTCAGGTTGCAAATTGCACCCACTATTCAGATACACTCACTGACCTCAAGGTGGCACTATAATAATTAAGTTATGTTTAGGCAATTATCCCAAAAAAAGTTTGGCAAAATTCAAAATTCTTCAATCATTTTAATCCCTCAAATGATTTGATCTGCAGCTTTTCTAAATAAGACTTCTTTAAAAATGTCAACTTTTGTGACATTTTCTCAAAACCTCAAGATCATCTACTGACTTTGCTGATCTTAAGCTATTAAAGAAATTTCAATATGTCAATTAGTTTCCAGCTTTATTGATTTGTACGAAATTCGGTTTGCATGAACTAGGATCGTGTTTTTCTCTTCTTAAGAAATCATTGTCAAGGAATGAATGGTCGATGACTTAAAAAAATAAAATAAAATAAGAAAAAGCTCTCTTGGCCATTATGAAGGCACTTTTGAGACAGTCCCTAACTTCAGTTCATCAGTTTCGGTCAAGGTGCCAGGCCAGGATATGGGGTCATGAGGTAAAAATAGAAGTTGCAGGACACCAGTCAGCATTTTCCAGCACTGTATGATGAAACTGATAAAACTGATGAATGGTTACTGCAGATGAACCTGTCTGAATATTGAACTTACTAATATCTATAGTTCTACATTTTTAACCAATTTGGATGCGTGTCAGTAAATCTGCATTATGGAAAGCATGCTGTTTCGGTTAATAGCAGTTCCTGTTTATACTGAACAGATCACCTTTGAATAACAAAAACAAAAGTCTGATGCAGAGCAAATGCAAAATGCTATTATCTATGAGATAATAGCATTTTTAAATATGACCAAAAATCAACAACAGAAAAAACACAACACAAGTATAAGAGGGGAAATGAACTGTGTGTGTAAAGTATCTCCTTTAATTCAGTTGTTCTGCTTGTCGTTCAGTTTTTCCTTTTCCTTCAGCTACAGCTGCATTTTTATCCACACTGCTGAGATTGATGACGGTACACAGTATCAGAGGACTGCAGGTCAAACTGTCCTGCAGAGGGTTTCGCAGTCTCTTCAACATGAGCTCAGCCCTCCTTCTCCTTTCTGTCAATACAATTCCATCCCAACTGTCACTACATTCAATAGATTTTTCTTGGCAAAATTAGATTCACATTGCCTCTGGAGGAATTGACTCAAACCTCACCTCAGGTTAAAATAGCTAATTTAGCTCCTGTCTGAAAGCTCTGCTGGTGTTGGGCCATTTAATGTGTTTTCACATCTTGAAACCTGTATGAATTCACTGACTGTTTAATTCTACACAGCAGTGAATATCTCAGCTGTAAAATCTGCATCACTGTCTTCCTGCGTGAAAACTGACTGAATGATAGATAAGATGCTCCTTTATTGATCCCCTGTGGGAGAAATTCAAGTATGACACAGCAGCACAGGGGAAATGTAGTGCAAATAGTAGAGAAGAAGTGCTCAAGCTGTAATTTCTACACATCAATGTGTAAAAGTGATTAATGCTGGCTGCAAAACAGCATGTATTCTCTGATCAAGTGCCTAAATATATGAATACATAAGAATATGCAATGTCTGTATCTTTGGCATTGTCTGTTTTTGAACTGCAGTACAGGTCACCTGTTGTTCAAGAGGAATCATTCTGAAAGGATTCTAAAAACAGGTTTCAGGTTGCAGACTCAGCAATCAGCCTAACTTGGACAATTCATCTCCACTGCCGCAGGCTCAAACTGAATGAAGACAGGTTTTGAATAAATCAGCCTTGAAAACACCTTGGCTAGCACGAAGGAAATATCCAAAAGGCAATCTGTAATGTCACTAAAACCACAGGATACATTGTAGAAGTATAGAAGTAATTAGGGTCTAGTTTGGCAAAGAGGTAAAAAAGTTTGGGAAGTTAGAACAAATTCTCTTAGGCTACGTTCACACTGCAGGCACAAGTGGCCCAAATCAGATTTTCAGAATATTTCAGTCTTTTTCAGTTGTCATTTCCAACCTTTGAAACATACTGCCAGCTGTACTTAGCTGAAACCAAAGAAGAAAAAAAAGTCAAGGATCAAAGATCTTTATTGTCCCTGAAGGGCTATTTATTGTACAGCCAGCAGTAACTACATAACCATCAGACAACAATAAAAACACTGATTTCGCACAAGTCTAGTTTAAAGCCCTCGATACACT